AAAACCTTGTCCTCCTCTTCACAATTCGCATGTCTGCAGTGCTACATTCTTAGCATCAGAGCTTGGCCAGATGGCGATTTATATTTACACTAATACCCAGAAGTTTCAGTAATGCTGCCACTCCGGTCTGTTGAAATCCCAGCATTTTAGCATATGTGCACACAGCAATGACAAATGGAAAGACAAGTAAGATGCAGCAGAAGGAACTGCATGCTGATGCTGAACGGACGGCTGCCACGGGAGCCATCCAGCAGTCGTGCAAAGCAGCTCTTGCAATAGCATCCTGTTGAGAAGCAAGGAGAAGGGAATATGGAAGGTGAGCTTTTGAATCTGTCCCCTGGCTCTTCTCTTCAGGTTTTGAACCTTTCCTCTTTGACTAAAAGGGGAAAGTCTGAATAATGAATTCAAGCATTTGCTTTTTCTCAACAGATTTTGAAGCTTGAGTTGAACCTGCATTGCAGTATAAAGCCCCTCGTGAGTCAAGTGCAGTGATCGGGGCCTGGGTCTATAGATGGGAGTTGCCTGCAGTTCCTCAAAGATTAATAGTAACAATTAATAAATAGTGCTATTCTGGTTTTCATCAGATCAGGATCAGGCCCATTATTAGTTTCTGGGATATCTGTTCTGTGCACGAACTGCTGCTTAGTGCAGTCTATGTGGCCACTGCTGCCTCCTTAGATATTCCCTAAAAGATATTAGGGATATCTCCCTAACACAAGATAGTCCCATGGATACAAACATGGAGCAAGATGTCTGACTTGGTTTCAGCCTCTTTAGGTGGATAAAAGCACCCTAAAAAAGCCCTCTTTCTAGCTAGGAAAGGACACCCTTCTCAGCAGAGGCACTGGGGATTGCAATGATAACGCTGCCGTCTCCAGACCCACTCCTAAGCTCTGACAGAAGAGAGATGCTAGTCAAAGATGGGAGAGACTTAGGCCACATCTATGGAAATTCAAGGCAGTTTTTAACAGACCGGCCACAAAGGTTAGCTAAATTACAAGAGAGCCCCCAGAGCCACCTTGTACAAAGCAGGCACCAAGATGGGGCAAAGTTGTTTTAGCTTCCTTCCTCCCACTTCTCCTGGTTGGGAGGGAAGGGCTGCACCTGTTACCCCCGGGACTCTCTGAAGCCCGTGTGAATAAAATTGAAGTTTTTCTTAATAAAGTAAACTGATGGGTAGCTGCATTAAATACCACCCCCCGCCTCTCCATCACCTGAACTCAAGTGAGCAGCATGGGCGTGGGAACAGCTATGCTGACACAGCACGCACCATCCTTTTCCCACCTCCCTCACTCTTCTTCACAGACACAAAGGGGTGCATCCTTACCCCAGGATAGCAAATGCACAGCAGCCATTCGGACCCAGAAGCATGGTGGAGACAAGGCAGGGCAGTGCAATGCCCAGATGAAGAGGAGGAGGTCAATCACTGGAGGGAAGACGGCGGTATTGTCCTGACCTGGCTACTGGAAACGCTAGTCCCGTAACTATTGAGTGCTGCTTAATGACTTGCTATTTAGGAAAAAACACAACACCATAATGTCCACGGGGGAAAAAGCCAGGACAATACAATATTTTTGAGCTAGAACACAAGACTGGAAGAGGCCTCTTGGGCTATCATGGCCAGCTCCCTGCATTCACGGGCAACTCAAAGGGGCCTCAAATCCTATCCATTTGGGCCCCACAGCTACCAAGCACTCAATGAAGGCCCCACAATGAGAAGATAATAAGAGATACAAGGGCACCCTCAGCTTATCATTAATGAAGGTACCCTGCATCACCTCCCCCCAGCAGAGGTGAGAGAGGAATGAGAGCAAGTACATCCAGCGAGCCTAACACCCATCCAGCTAAAAAAGCACCTTGAAAAAACTCCAATGCCCCCTCAAACAAGAACAAAATTTCCCCTCCTGCCTGCCTGTTTGGCTAGAAACTTCTCACCCACCGCCGAGGACCGGGCATCGGCAGAAGAATGCAAAGAGTTAAGATAATAAGCACATAATCTCTAGCAAATTTCCCCGGCATTTCTCTAATCACAGATCTTGCAAACGCTCCCTTCCTCTATCATACCACTACATTGCTGTTGCTTTATCTCTTCCTTTCTATTTCCCCGGAGAGAAGAGTTGTATAAAACCCATTGATTAAAAAAAAAAAAAAAGCTGATAAGCGTAAACTGGTGTTGTTTGCAACTAGCTAGGCTACAGCTCACTACACATTTAGCTGGAGGCACATTTATAACAGCTTCCCAGTGGGGCACTAGGGCATCTCTTATTCTAGGGCAACGCATTTCTTTCATGGCTTAAATGCATCATGTGCCTCAGGTACAAATGGACAATGTCTAAATGGGATCCCGGAGCTAAACTGTCAAGGCTTCACTTCAGTTAAGACGACATCCGTCATTAGGTGTTATTGGTCTGGACGTACAGCTACAATGCTGGCATTATATGGGAGGATTTAAATGCCTTTTGTTCATTCTGGCGGAGACACACGCTACATTCATTATGCAACGAGCTTTTTTTTGTGTTGTTTTTGCTCTGCGCTTGTAGTAGTCGGCATCTGTCTGTCTCGCAGGACAACAGTCGACGCCGAGTGAGACATCAGCTCGCTGAATGTAATCTGTGCTTGCGAGTGTTGGATAGAAACCAGAAGGTAATTCTTTGGAAGAGAGGGGAGAGGGGGACAAGGACTCCCTCCACTGTTGAGTGCCTTCTCCCTAAGTATAGAAATGCCCTCAAGAGGGCAAGTTGAGCACTTCACACAATAGGATTCTTCAATAATCCCTTCCACTATAAAGAAATAGTGAAGTAATCACGTATCATTTGTACTGCTACAGCCTCTTGTCTACTTCCTGGCTACCTTTCACCACTATTCAACACGGCCTCTTCTCTACCCCTGTGCTAAGCCCCTCGTTTAAGGGGACTTCTCTTTGGCATGCCGAACAGCTGCATCATAACGATCCAACGGAGATCAGATGCTGAGTGTTTGCCTACATAGCACGTTCAGCCCTGCTGGGCTCCAAGCAGCTGAATATCAGGGATCTGAAATATTCATAGAGCATCTTGGCCAACTGGGCCCTAATGTAACTAATAAATAAATAAGCAGCAGCAGCATTGTATGTTCAGGACCCCATCATCGTTATGTTTATGCTTCTCTGCATTCGCACTGATGTCTTTTGGACTGCGTATCACAATATTTGATTAAACCTGAATAGCCCCAGACAACCCAGCTCTCTCAGGGAGCCATTTATGGAGCTTAAACAACAGTAGGTCAGACCTTCGCAGGCTACTTCAAGTCACAGGCTGGTGAAATTACCATAAGGAGACTTGATTTGGCCTCTACTAGCAATTCCTTGAGACAGGGAAGACAAAAGGTCTGAGAAAGAAACACAACCTCACACGCAGCATGGCCTGGATTTATTCCAGTTTGGACTGATTATGGCTACTCCGATGTTTTGGGGTTCCTGCAGCTGTTTGCTTCACAGAAATGCTTCCAGATTCATGCCTTTGATCAACAAATCATGGTTTAAGGTTGATCTGAAGGGTTTCTCAGGGGAGGAAACATCACTCTCATGTCTAAAAGGAGCCCTTCCTTTAGCAATGTCTCTGCACGGGAAGACTAGGGCTTACCTCCACTTAGTCCTAAACAACAGCTCCCTCGTCTAGGTTTGTAACATGGGTCACTTGCTATGAGCTAGCTTATACACCCACTGATTCTGCTTGGCTGTACTAATGCCAACCAAGTTACAGTCCTGCCCATCTCCTAGGGGTAGGTTCTCCCCCGGGGCCCTCCCATGCACACCAGGGTATCATGAGTGCCAT